TACAGTTGTGGGATCGCACAACGTTACACGATGTGCGGTGTGCGCACGATGTGTGCACGGTGTGTGAACGGTGTGTGCACGATGGGCGAACGATAAAAAGCTGAACGATCATTGCTTGCGCACATATGTGCGCACGATGGACGGACGTTGTGCGATAACAATCGTGGTTGGTGCAAATTTAGGAATGCCTTAACAATTTATACGGTTTCGTGTTTAAACATATAAACTTGATGTTTACGTATGTTTCTATATTCTAGCAACATCTATAACTTATCTTTCTGTCTATATATTCTTATATTTAGGAATTGTGTTTTCTGTGTTTTTAAACAAACTTAATCGACACATGTAAAATTACAACACAACCCGTATACAGGTAAACATAACCACTTTGTACCTGTACCTGGACCGTAGTTTTCTCCCCGCCTGGGGCATTTACGTAACTCGTCGGGTAAGGCCGGGGGTGTGAAAATCCAGGTGAATGTTACATACACCAGTATATGTATCACACAATAGTTATACAATGTTACATACACCAACACTTGTATCACACAATAGTTTTACAATGTAACATACACCAGCACATGTATCACTCACTAGTTATACAATGTTACATATACCAGCACGTGTGTCACACAATAGTTATACAATGTTACATACACCAGAATATGTGTGTCACACACTAGTTATACAATGTTACATATTCCAGCACGTGTGTCACACAATAGTTATACAATGTTACATACACCAGTACTTGTGTCACACAATAGTTATACAATGTTACATAAACCATCTCATGTATCACACAATAGTTATATAATGTTACATACACACGCATATGTATCACACACTAGTTATACAATGTTACATACACCAGTATATGTATCACACAATGGTTATACATAATTTACAATGTTACATAGACCAGCATATGTATCACACGACAGTTATACAATGTTACATACACCAGCATATGTATCACACAATCCATGTAGTTATACAATGTTACATACACCAGCATATGTGTGTCACACAATAGTTATAAAATGTTACATACACCAGCATATGTGTGTCACACAATAGTTATACAGAATCACACATGTTACATACACCAGCATATGTGTGTCACACAATAGTTATACATAATTTACAATGATACATACACCAGCATATGTATCACACGACAGTTATACAATGTTACATATACCAGCATTTGTATCACACGACAGTTATACAATGTTACATACACCAGCATATGTATCACACAATAGTTATATAATGCTATATACACAAGCATATGTTTCACATTGTAGTTATACAATGTTACACACACCAGCACGTGTGTCACACAATATCACACAATAGTTATACAATGTTACATACACCAGCATATGTGTGTCACACAATAGTTATCCATAATTTACAATGTTACACACACCAGCATATATATCACACGACAGTTATACAATGTTACATACACCAGCATATGTATCACACAATAGTTATACAATGTTACATACACCAGTATATGTGTCAGACAATAATTATACAATGTTACATACACCAGTACTTGTGTCAGACAATAGTTATACAATGTTACTTACACCATCTCATGTAACACAAAATAGTTATATAATGTTAAATACACCAGCACATGTATCACACAAAAGTTAAACAATGTTACATACAACAGCATATGAGTAACACACACTAGTTATATAATGTTACATACACCAGCATATGTGTATCACACACTAGTTATACAATGCTACATACACCAGCACTTGTATCACACAATAGTTATATAATGTTACATACACCAGTATATGTGTCACACAATAGTTATACAATGTTACATACACCAGCACGTGTGTCAAACAATAGTTATGCAATGTTACATACACCAGCATATGTATCACA